AAAAGGAAAAACAGAAATTCTCGGCATTTAAAGCCAAAACGCTCCAGCACATCCAGATGCAGCTTTGTGCAACGGATCCACCCCAGGGATTATGGCATATCCCAAACTGTGCCTATCCCGGGGATAACCCAAACAGTGAGCATCCATCCTTGTGACTGCCCGGGGGAGCACCCAAACCGTACCCATCCCTGTGCTTATTCCGGTGTCCATCCCGGGGATCACCCAAACCGTGCCCATCCCTGTTCCCATCCCTGTGTCCATCCCGGGGATCGCCCAAACCGTGCCCATCCCTGTTCCCATCCCTGTGTCCATCCCGGGGATCATCCAAACCGTGCCCATCCCTGTGTCCATCCCGGGGATCATCCAAACCGTGAGCATCCATCCTTGTGACTGCCCGGGGATCACCCAAACCGTGCCCATCCATCCCTGTGCCCGCCCAGGGGAACATCCAAACCGTGCCCATCCCTGTGCCGCCCCGGACCGCCCCCAGACCGCATTCCCCGACTGACCGGCCGTGTGCCAGGTGGTGCCCGAGGTCAGGCGGTCCCTCTCCAGCAGCACCACATCRCTGACCCCCAGTTTGGCCAGGTGATAGGTGGTCTGGCAGCCCAGGCTGCCCCCGCCGACCACCACCACTTGCGCCGAGGCGGGCGGGGGCCGGGTGGGTTCGCTGCCCCCGGGACCCTCCTCCTGCAGCGTTTTCTGGTACGGGACGCTCTTCTTGGCCGTGGGTGCCGAGGCGCTGCTGAAGGGCCGGGGGCTCCTCCAGGGGGGCGGCAGGAGGCGGGGGGCAGCTGCCCGCCAGGCACAGCTCATGTAGGACATGTCCACCTGCGAACCCCAAAAATGGCCTGTTTGCATCCCCGGCCAGCCCCTGGATGCTGCTCCCCTCGCCAGCACCCATCTGTGGATGCTGTGCAGAGGCTGAGCGAGCCCTGAGCGGACTGGGGGGGTCCTTTTCCAGCAGGGAAATGGGATCGCGGCTGCACATTTCTGCAGGTCCCAAACAACCTCCACAGGGGCCCCCTTAGCCAAGGGGCTCGGGAATTCCTAAGGTACAGCAGCCCCGTACTCGCTCCAGAAATCGCTTTTTCTTTTTTCTTTTTTTTTTTTTTTCCCTCCCCACTGGAATTCAGGAGCTGTCTGGCCACAGCGGAGGTGCCAGGTTTGCTCCCTATCAGAGGGTGGTGCAATGGCTGCTGGGGGACAAATGGGGACAGATCCCGTCACCCCTGCGTGGCTCCTGGCTGAGGACACGGCTCGGGATTTTGGGTGCATTTGAGGGGCTCAGTGGCGCCGGCACAAATCCCCCTTCCGCACAAGCCACGGGCCACGAGCAGAGTTTGCCCCGGAGTTCACCCCAGAGACCCCCTGCTCGCTGCCACATGATCATCCATTGTCCCCACAGTGTCCCCACAGTGTCCCCACAGTGTCCCCCACGCTTCAAACTCCATTTGGCAATCCTGAGACACCGCAGGAATTCCCTCAGCACATTCCCTCCAGGATCCACTCACCAGCAAGGCTCACTCCGGGCTGGTTTTCTCTGCCGGGATGTCGTGGGGCCCCTGCCTTCCTCCGATGCTCTCCACCTCCTCCTCCTCCTCCTCCTCCTCCTCTTCCGTCCCCTTGGCCCCTGCTGCAAAAAATATTAACCAGCACCCAGTGGTGAGTGGATCCAGCGTGAGAGGTCAGGAAAAAGGGACTCACTCACCTCCCTCGTCCCCCTTCCCGTGGCTCTGCTGCTTCCCAGGCGAGACAAAAAGTCCGGCAGAGCGGAGAAATTCGAAACGGGGAGGAAAATGCTGCTTTTCTCGGCCGGCTCGGTGCCCAGCAGAGAACAAACAGCCCAGCTGGGGCCAGGGGGACTCCGAGCCTCCCGGGCTGGCTGGGCTGGCTGCAGTCAGCTGGATGCCAGAKAGCAAACACGGCGAGGGAAGGCACCATCTGACCCTCCTGCCGCAGCTCCCAGCGGCTCCAGGTGAAGAACAGAGTGAAAAAATTAATTTACGCCTCTCCTAAAGCAGAGCCCGGAGTTCAAAGCGAAGGTGGCGACACCAAAAAAATGATTTAATTTGGAGATGGGTAGGAAAAAAGAAGGGTTTGATTTGGATCTCCAGACCTGAAGKTTTGTTGTTGCCTGTGCTCAGGACTTTGAATTGCCCTGGAATTTGGGCCTGTTTGGGCAGGGTACACGGGATCTGCTGAAGGGCTCCGTGCTGATATCTCTGAGGAGCAGAAATCGAGGTGGAGTTGTGGTTTGGCTGCTGCTTGGGAGGGGTCGGGGTCCCAGCAGCATCGTGGCAGCATCACCCACCCCTTCAGAGCGCTGAGCAGCCCAGGGAGGGATTTTGGGGTTTTTTAAACACCCAGCAGTGACCCTGGAAGTGCCCCCTTGCAGCTCCTCTGTACCCAACCCCAATGGGCACAGTGTGGTGCCCAATGTGCCTCCAACCTGCCCCAGTTTGGGACAGCTTTCAGCAGGAGCTGAGGGGTTCATTTATTCCAACTGCCTCCAGCAGCATTTCCCCTCCTTCTCCCAGAGATAAAACTGGTGTCTGTTTTACAGAGAGCCCCGATTCCTGCAGACTTCTCCACAGACTGAATTGCTCARAATAACCACAGAGCCGCAAACAAGTCTAAACTCCTGTTTGCAGTGGGGTGGTTGTGTTTGACAGGTCAGAAYCATTTCATCAGCGTGTCCTAATTATAAATACGACCTTTGGGTTAGACCAGACCTAGAACAATGCAAGCCCGAGCCCAGCTCAGCAGCCTGAGCCCTTCACCGAGCTCAGGATGGGCAGTGTTGAAAGTGGCAGCTGCTACAGCCCCTCCGAGCCCTGCTGTGAGCTCAGAGCAGGATTGAGGGGGGTTATTTCTCATGATGATCAGTCCGGGGTAGTGGGAGCCTGCCCAGTTCAATCCTCCCCTTTCATTTTTAGGTTAATTCCAAAATGAAGCAGCGCAGCGGTTCAGGCGCCAGCTGGAGTTTTCTAGGTCACAGCAAACATGGTTAATGCAGGGCTGAGCCAGCCAGGCGTGCTGCAGACTGTCAGCATTGCCCTGCCATCCCATCCCATCCCATCCCATCCCATCCCATCCCATCCCATCCCATCCCATCCCATCCCATCCCAGCCCAGCCCAGCCCCATCCTCGTGGAGCTCAGGGCTCATCTCGGCCCCCAAAACCCAAATTTAGGGCCAGGAAACCACCATGTGTGACCAGCACACGACTCTGAATAGAAAGCACCCAGTCCTGCTGGGCAGAGCTGCTCTGAGCTCTCCCCTTGGCCACCCCCTGCCTCAGTTTCCCCACCCTGACAGCACAGCAGTTAGAACCCTGGTTTTGGGATTKCCTTGGGCTGGAAGGAAATCCCAAATTCCACCCACAGCGTGGTAGAGGGAGGTGGCCACACGCTGGCCGGTGGCCACAGGGCTTGAGAGTGGCTGTCCCATGGTGACAGGAGCAGCCAGCAGCCACAGCCACCCCCATGCCTTGCTCAGAGCCCAGGGCTCTGCTCACCAGGGGGATTTTGTCAGCAGCTGCTCTTGCTGGGGGAAAAACCAGAGCAATAAATAAAAAAACTCCCTGTGGCTGACGGGACCCCCCTCCTGGGCAGGGCTGGAGACAGCTGTGCCGGCTGTGGCTGGACATTTCTCCTGTTAATGGACATTTCTCCTCCTGTCAATGCCCCTGGACATTGCTCCTCCTGTTAATGCCCCTGGACATTTCTCCCCCAGTTAAAGGACATTTCTCCCCCTATTAATGCCCCTGGACATTTCTCCCCCAGTTAATGCCCCTGGACATTTCTCCTGTCAATGCCCCAGGACATTTCTCCCCCCGTTAACACCCCTGGGACACTGCTCCTGCTCTGGTCACTGCCCCTGGCCGTGGCTGGGCACAGAGGATCAATGCCCCATTGATTCCTGAGCTGTCAGACCTCTCACTGGAGCAATTCTGGCACCAAGCCGCTGTCGAGGCACCCACCTGTGCCCTCCAAGCACTGCCCAAGGTCTCAGTGTCCCCAGAGCAGGACAGAACAGGGGCAGATCTTTGCACTGCCCAGCTCTTGGCTCCAGGGTTGYGTTTTGCAGCCCAGCTGTGCCATGGCCATTCCAGAGCTGAGGTTCATCACCAGCAGGGGAGGACTCAGGTATCAAACCCTGGTATTTCACACGTGGTGAATGTTGGGGAGAATCCCTAYAATCCCTCAGACCAAAAAACAGCAATGAGGAAAGAGTTTAACCCAGGCAGGGTCAGCATATGGACCGAGGCTGCTGGGCAGCACCTTCCCAAAGCAGCACCCAAAATTTAGTGCCCAGCTCATACCCTGATTCCCCAAGTGAAACACTTCTGCTCATCACTACAGCCCCTTCYGCTGATCCTGGGAAAAGTGAAGCATTGGGGGCTCCAAGGACAAGAAAAAAATTAATGTTCTTAATTAAACGACAGCCCTCTGCTTGGGGTGAAGCCTCCTGAACGCCCCAGGTTTTTATAAGCAATTGTGAAATTTATATATTGCTCTGGAATACGCTGCTGCCTGCAGGGCCAAGAGGGATTGTGGAATATGAGACTCAGGAGTGACTAAAAGCCATGGAAAATCATCCCCTTTCTCTCACCCCACAGATCAGGAGTCACAGGAAAGCCTTTGGATGGGACAACTGCACGAGTGGCAGCTGCTCCAGGAATGAGAAGGAACCTGAGAGGCACTGCAGGAGGGATCTATCCTGAATTTTGGAAGGATAAAAACACTGTTCATGCCAGGAATTGGAAAGGATCCACCCCTGTGAGCACCCTGTGCAGCCAAAGGAGTTTTAGTGACAAAGACCCCAATACGATCCCAAACCCCCTGGCACAGTAAAAACCATGGCTGGAAAAAATTAAAAAAAAAAAAAAAACCTATCAGCAAAATTACACTTTATTTTTTCGTTGGGGAATTTACTCTGATGAATTGTAACTTAAAAAGGCCTGGAAAAACCACATGCAAAAGGGTTTCTAAGTAGCAGCTAAAGTTTCTATTCCAGCATTACAAGCTATTCCAAAGGATTTTCCAAATTCCCAGCTATAAACTATTCCATAAACAAACAGTTTCATCTTTAAACCCCCTCCACCCTACCCCAGTTAGTGCAGTGCAAAGGAAAAACCCAAGGAATTTACATATTATTTTCCAACAAATCCCATTGCAATTCCGAAGGACCTGCGATGAACTAAAATAATATATACAATTTCTTCGCCATCATTAAAAAAAAAACCCCAAAAAAAAATTTCCCTTTCTTATTCACAGATATATTTGTGGCAAATGGCTGAATAATTACTTACAAACAAAACAATCTCTTTTKAACAAGTTTCTTACACCAGTAAACACAAGAGGGAGAGCTCTCTGGGAGGAGGGGGTTTGGCAGGGGTGGGGTGTAAGGGACAGGGCTGGGCTCTCCCAAGGTGATGCCCTTGCCACCTTACAAAATTTACCAGGTGACACAGGAGGGGCTGTAAGGCTTTAGGATCTGAGGTGTAAYGTGAGCCTTTGGGAGTTTGTGTGTCCCACCCACCCAAATTCACCCTCGGCCCCCAGAACGGGAAYGGGGCCCTCTGCTCTGCACAGGAGCAGGGAATGGCTCAGAGGGGTTAGCACCAAACAGTACCTTGGGAAAGCCCTGAGCCCCCCACACCGTGTCCCTGGCCAGACCCTGCTGCACCCACCCCACACCCCCAGAGCTCCAGGAGCAGCAGGAGCCAAGCAGGGCAGCTCTGGGTTCTCACTGAGCACATAATTCCCAAACTGGCATCACTCCCTTATCCTTGAGAGCTCCAAACTCCTCCATTCCTCATCCTGAGCAGCAGGAATGCTGCCAGAACCCTCCATGCCCCCCTCACCCACCCAGCCCTGGCATCACCCACGCCATAAACACGATGGCAGGGCCACCACAAATCCCAGAGGAACAACATCAGGGCATTGGAAACAGCAGCTCAAAACGCCAGGTGTTCAGAGAGGCAGCTCCTGCGGCTCAGATACAGGAAAAGCTGTTCCCCATCACGCTCCCACACGTGTATTTGTTCATATTTGCACTTTGGAAGGGAATTGTGGAGCTGGAGAGCAGAGCCAGCACCCAGCAGACGATGGCTGGGATGGCCAGGGGGAAGGGCAGCTCGGACAGACGGTGGGAATGTCACCACAGACGGTGGCAATGTCACCACAGACGGTGGAAATGTCACCACAGACGGACCTTTACTCGACAGCAGCAGCAGGAACAGCCCATGGGAGCGGGGCAACGCTCCCAGCCCCCAAAAGTGCACACAGCTGGGAGGAAGAGAGGCTCTCACAGCTCAGGGACAGCAACCAGGAGTGGATTTTGTAGCCCTTACTCTACAGGGTGGGTTCGCCCTGAGCTCATGAGGTGGGGTTTGTCACGGCTGCAAGAAAAAAACTGCCCGGCCTGGGGGAATCCTGATGGGAGAACAGGGAGGACAGAGCCAGGGACACATCCCTCGGTGGCCTTGGTGGCATCATGCACCCAGAGCTCCTTCCTGCTGACCAGTGGGACCAGTCTGTGCCCGCAGCGAGGCGGGCRGGACTGGGGTGATTGTAAAGGTAACGGGTTTGGGGATGCCAAAGCAGCGATTTCCCCTCCTGCCTGACCCCAAAGTCCACKTCCAGCCTCCATCTGAGGGTTCAAATGGTTTCACAGCCCTCTCCTCCTCCCGGGCCAGGTGTCCCCACCCTGCCCCTCGCCCTGRCTGCCAGGGCACTGCCAAAATCCTGACCTGGGGAGCCCCGTGAGTGGTGGGGCGGGGGGTCTGCGCCGTCTCCTYGGGGCTCCCTCCCCTGGATGCCCCCAAATCCTCACCCAGGCACAAACCTTCAGCCTCACCCTCCCACCACCATCCCCACGAAGGCTTTTAAAACCCCTTGACAAAAGAGGGGTGCCCCGGCGGGCACCCCAGAGTCTCTGGGCTCTGTCCATGCAGGGGCGCACGGCTCTCCGGGGGCTCTCCGGGGGCTCTCCGGGGKCTCTCCCGGGGCTGCTCCACCACGGCCATCCCACAGACCATCCATCTTCTATACACGGGCCGGGGCCAGGCCCTGGCAGGCGCTGTGCAGAGGGGGGAGCGTGGGGAGGCTGCGGGAGCAGTCCTGGGAGGTGTCCGGCACGCTGGCTCCGGGCGCTCGACGACTTCCAGCGGCCACGGCCGCAGTCACTGCACCCCCTCCTCCTCCACGTAGGTCGAGGGGAACCAGCCCACCTGTGGGGGACAGGAGAGGTCAGCAGGGGCACAGCAGAGAGGGTGATGGAGTTCAAGGGGTGTTTGGAGCATTCAGGCACAGGGGGGATGGTTGGGGTGTCCTGTGCAGGGTCAGGAGTTGGACTCYTTGAGGTTTGTGGGTCYCTTTCACTCTGTGATTCTGTAAGGGAATTCCTGTCCTGTCACCGAAATAATTCCCTGCCATCGTGTGCTGATCCCAGCCCTGGGTGTGCCACATAGCTATGGGGGTCAGCCATCACCTGAATTTGGGATGGAAATCCCAATGGTGGTCAGCCATCACCCAAATTTGGGATGAACTCCTGATGACAGTCAGCCATCACCCAAATTCAGGGTGGAACTCACAATGGCGGGTCAACCATCACCAGAATTTGGGATGGAACTCACAATGGTGGGTCAGCCATCACCCAAATTTGGGATGGAACCAGCACCTGCTAGAATTTGGGATGGAGTATCACCTTGGACATACTGCCTGCAACACTTAAGGGATCAGGGCACGGAGAATGTCTCCAGTGGACAAACCCCTTGGGATACCAGGATAAACCATCAGCCTGCTGGTTCTCCGGGATGCTGAGCTTTCACCCCTGCAGATTCACTCCTGTGAACATCCCCATGGGTGGATTTAGGGAAGATCAGGCCCTCCCACCACCTGAGGTGACAGCCCACCCAGAATCCAGGAAAAGGCAAGCAGGAGTGGGGCACATCCCCTTCCCATCCCTGCTGACAGCAGGGAGGATCCCGCACCGCAGGAACGGGACAGGAATCGATCTGTCTGCACTCACCCTTCCGTTGGTTTCCCCTTTCCACCATCCCTGGTCCCCTCCAATCCTGCTGTAGATCTTCACCACGTCCCCCTCGCGCAGCGACAGCTCCCGCATGTCCCGCGCCGCGAAATTGTACCGCGCCACGGCCGTCCCTATGACCCGGGGTGTGAACACTGCCAGGGACAAAGCACACGGGGTCAGGACAGCCCCACGCTGGCTGAAGCCTGGGGAAAGCTTGGAGAGGTTCAACCTGGGTTTTCCACCGCAGCACCGAGAGCTGGGGATGCTCGGATAAAGGGTTGGTACCATCCAAGCTGCTCGGCCCCATAAAGAATGGGRTGGGTGGGGTTGAAGTGGATTCCTGCTGGGATTGGAATGGTTCTGTGGGTTTGGGAAGCCACTCTGTGCTGGTCAGAGGCTCGGTGGGGATTGTTGGGGTGGAGGGTGCTTTAGTGAGGCGGTGAAAGAAAGGATTTCATAGGAATGTGCAAMGATAAAGAATGGAATCACGAAAAAATCCTATTCTCATCTGCCACACAGCTCCCAGCACCTGATGGAATCCTTTTGTAAACCARCCTGGATTTAAGCTACCTGAAAAACTGAGTTATTGGGAATGGATTGTCCTGGAGGTTGAGCAGATTTTGAGTGCTTTGCCATGAGGAGGAACGAGCTGCTCATCTGGAACCTCCCTGCTCCTCTCCCTGCCAGGGAACTGCCAGGGCCCCTGGAAACTTGATCCCATTACTGACCAAACCCTAACACTGACCAGCACCCCGTGAGGAGGAGATGACCCCAGARCCATCCTGGGAGCTCCACCAGCACCAGCACAGCCCCAGCCCCACGGATCTCCATCACTTCAGGCAGGGGATGCTCAGGGGAGGCACAAGGAGGGGGGAAGGCAGAAGCAGCACTCAGCATTCCTGCCCCAAGGCCTGGGCGGGGGAAAAAAGGCTGGAGAGCAACATTGGAGGGATGGGATGGGCAGAGGAGGAGAAAAATGCACTTTTTCTCAAGTTTGCARAAAAAAAAAAAACCCACCCTGAGGGGATGTTGTGTCTCACTGCCCTTTGCCCCAGGATTTCCAAGGGTTAATTTCATTTATAAAAGTGAGCAAACCAAGGTTGAACAAGTCTGAGGGAAAGCTTTGCCCAGGTTTTCAGCTCTCGGGGTGGGAGGAGATGAGGATGGTGATGGAGACAGTTTGGACACACAATGTGCAATCACCGGAGGGTTGCTCCGTCCTGGCCAGGCAGCCAGGCTGGAGAATGGACAAAAAACCATAGCAGCTTTGAGCTCTGTCATCAGGAGCTTGCTCAGAGCCCCTTTCTCCACACATTACCTCCTGCAATATCTTCTGTGCTGTTRGAGAATCCCAAATTCCCAGATTTACACTCGGAAAGGTAAAGTTTGCCAAGATTATGCCAAAGACAGCACCAAGAAAGGCACACATGGCTTTGCTGATGATATTCCCTGCCCAGCCTGGACGAGAGACTGAAAGATAAAAGCTTCACTGGGAATTAAAAAAAAAAAAAAATCAGGATTTTGCTGTGATCCCATCARCAGGGAGGATGACACCAGCCTGGAGCACATCAAATCAAAAAGGTAAAAGGGGTAAAAGGGCTGGGGCAGCGAAACCCAGCCCCAAACCACAGCTGACAGCACAGCATCCCCCCCTGCCTCCTCAAGGGGCTCCTGAGCAGCCTGGGACAGCAGAGCTCGAAGCCTGCTGGACACTGGGATGTCCTGGAGGATGGGGAGGGTCGATGCCGATGCTCGGTGGGTGACACACATGGGGCAGGCAGGTCGAGCTTGAAGTGAGATCCCAAAGTGCTACATCCACTTTTGTTTGGTTTTTTTTGTTCATTTTAGCCCTTTTTCTCAAATAGCAACAAGTCCATCTCCTCCCTGCCTTGATTTTGGGGAGCGTGCTTTGCTGCCAGGCAAGCCACRGTTAATTAATTTAATTAACTTGTTTTCCAGGGCAGCACTGGGGACCCCCTGAACTGCCTGTGGGGATGGAGGGACAGRGGGGACCCCGCAGGTCCCACTGGTGATGGCTTTCAAGCTGGGGATGGTGGCAGGTCTCTCCAGCAGGGAGAGGCACTGGTACCTGACCAGAAGGGACTGGAGGAGCTCTGAGAAGAAAAGTTGAGGCCCTGAGGACTGAGAAAAGAAAAGTTGTAGGAAGCGCAGGAGGCTGCAAAGAGGTTAGAGAGAAACAGAAAGAGGCAGAACACGCATTAAAAAGGAAATTAAAATGAAATATTATAAGGCACAGTGCTTTACAAGCGTGATGGAGGAATACAGGGCAAAGCATGCAGAGGGTCCTGTGCAGGGACAGCTGACAGGTCTGGCCACAGTCCCACAGCCACTGTCAGAGCTCAAAAGTCATCCTAGGGTTGTATTTAATGCAAGAAGGTATTTAATCAGCTTTTAAAACCTATCTGCCTTTGGTTTTCTTTTTTAAATACACCACAGAGAAAAATTTTTAACATTTATTTTTCCCTRCAAAGCAGTTAGTTCTGCACTCAGGCTTTTGGACAAAGCAATACCTTGTATTATTGCACATTTTGCTTTCCATTTGTTTTGATTTTTTCCTTTTCTTCTTCTTTTAGACACAGACTTACCATTTGCACCCAYCATCTCCATTAAAGGAGCCCCACTGGGATTTAAACCACAAGCAACATTGGAACTGGATCCATTAAAACACAAAAACCTCACATGGATGGGAAAGGCAGGATAAATCCCACCRAGTGAGCATCACATCCCTGCTCCCAAACACAGGGAGGGGAAACCACCTTCAAAGGGGGCAAAACCACAGCAGGGGAACCAGAAAAAACTGTCCCTTCAGAGGAGCAGGGCTGGAGAGCCATCCTAAAAACGCCACCAGTTGGGCARAATTTATCTGCAAACTGAGGAATTCAAGCCCTAGAGCTGTAAATCCCTGCATCCAGCACTGCTACAGCTGGCTGGGAGGGGCAGGCTCCCCATGACAAGCTTTCCCTGCAGCAGCCTCACCTGGGGAGCGGGTGAAGGTCCTGGAGGTGGAGCGCTCCCGTGATTTGTAGGGGTATTTCAGCGTCGTGTCCAACTGCTTGAAGCTCTCCTTCAGYGAGTGGCTCTGGTAGTACTCAACCAGCTCCTGGCAGGGAGGGAGAGGCACCAAGCTGTCTGTGCCACCCCCTGCACCACTGCTGGAGTGCATGGCACAAAGGGGAAACAAAACCCACCAGCAAACTTTCGAACTTCTTGGCTTCCGTGATGTGGATCCAGTTGTCCTTCTCCACCACCTTGATGTGCTTCACCTCCTCGTTGAACCTGCCAGCGACAGCAAAGGCACGCTGGAGGGGACTGCAGCCACGTGCTGCAGGCCTGGCTCGTCCTCTGGCAGTGAGAAATATGGAATGATTGAATTTCTCCATGAGGAATCACTCACTTGATGCTGATGGCAAAGCGCTCGGCCTCGGCCGGCCGCTCCCGGATCAGGTAGGTGCCGCTGACGTGAGATTTGAGCAGGTTGTCTGTCTGCTGTCGCTCCATGTTCCCTGCAAACCTGAGCCCAGAGGTCCATTAGTTCATTWAATTCATTCAAGTGAACTCTTATCTTTAAACAGGCACGTTTTGGATATAAAGACACATTTGCTTTAAAGGCTGGAAGGCAGGGAGAGGAATGTCCCAAATATCCTGAGCAGGAGGCAAAGTGCCCCAAGGTACAGAAGGAGCAGCTGAGCCACTGAACCACACAGAGAGTGGCCTCTTCCACCAAAAAAAACCCCACTAATTGGGAACCAGTCCCCAGGTTAATGAGGCTTCAGCCAGAGAATGGAGATGATTTATATCCCTGAATTCCTAAACCTGGCTGCAACTGGAGAGGAGGAGCAGCAGGCAAGCCAAGCACAGCCTCTCCTGCCAAGGCAGGAATTGCCTCCTTCCTCCCACAACCATTTTTCTGGGCACAGAAAACAGGAAGAGAAACCAGCATCTCCCTTTTTTGCCTCTGACCCTCTCCACCAGCAAAGAAATCCCCACACATGCTGCCAGGGCTTTCAACACCCAAACTSCACTGTGGCAGCTGCACTCAGAATTCCTCACTGGAGCAGATTCCTGACAAAACAACCACCAAAAAGCGAGGCTGGGCTGTGCTGCAGCCGACTCACCACGGGTACGCCGTGTAGTCGATCTCCCGCGAGGGCGGCCGGCTGTTGGGGGGCTGTAAATTGAGAATTTCCTATTAATGATGGGGAGCTGTAAATTGAGAATTTCTGTTAGTGATGGGGGGCTGTAAATTGAGAATTTCCTATTAGTGATGGGGGGCTGTAAATTGAGAATTTCTGTTAGTGATGGGGGGCTGTGAATTGAGAATAGCTCAATAGTGATGGGGGGCTGTAAATTGAGAATTTCCTATTAGTGACGTGGGGCTGTAAATTGAGAATGGCTCATTAGTGATGGAGCCAGGATCTCCCCAGGATTGGACACGTGTGGGATGCTCCTCTCCAAGGCAGGATTCCCTCTGCCCAGCCTTTCCCAGGCTCTGGGCTCAGTGGGCAGTGCTGTAGCTGAGCATTGCCAGCTCCCAGCAAGACTGAGCAGGCTGTGTTTGCTCATTACCTGAGTGGTTTTTAATTGGGAAGCAGCTGACAGCATTACAGCAAGCAGCTAAAACGATTAAAATAAACCAAAGGCTGTTTTCCTGCACCGGGGCTGATCCTCGAGCRCTCTGCCCMCAGAGYCTGGATGTGATCCCATCAACTCCARCCTCAGGAATGGGGCTGGGGCCAGCCTGACCTGACCCCATGGGATGAGGGATCCACCTCCCTTTTAAGGTAGAGCCTCACTGAAGGTCCAGGAGATTTTTGGAAGGACTCAAGATTTCGGGGATAACTCAAACCCCTTCACCCACCTGGTACTCCCAGCCCCGTCTCCCCTCTGGCACTTACCCTGGCATCCACGGGACAGGGTTTCACCGAGGAGCTGGGGAAATAACCYGACTTCTTGGTCTGCAGCAGCCTCCCCTGCAAAGCCAAGGCAGAAATCAGRCTGGGCYGGGCACTGGGAGCACTGGTGTGGCTCCAAACTGTGTCCCCAGCACATCCCCGCACCAGGAAATCCCACAAATTYAAGGGATTATGCAGAATTCACTGGTTTTAAGGTTTTTCCAGGGTTTTTCCGAGGGGAATGGCTCTCACCTCCCACCATGGTGAGTCRGGGTCCCCCCTCAGCAGCTCAATGACGTCCCCAATTTGAAAGGTCAGTACTGGCTTCCCAGGAGGGGCTGGGGTCCCATGGTAATTCTGAACTGCCACCATTTTCGGACCTGGGAGAGAAATAAAACAATTTCATTCATGACCTTGTCCCTGCTGGAAAAAAAACCCAAACAAAACCTCTCCTCCTGAAGCTGTTACTCCCCATCCTGTGATAAGGCAGGATTTAGGGTCAGGACACATGGAAGCAGAAAGGAATGGTGAACACAGAGAATGTTCCTGGCTCCTACAGTCACAGGATGATTGAGCTCCCTGAGCAAAAATAAACCCAGGAGGGCTCCATGAGCCCTTCCCAGGCCAGCCCCAAACCCTGCTGGGCTCAGCAGTGACACCACCATTGCAAAAGGGGCCAGGGGACACTCAGCTGCCACAGAATCTCAGCTGGACCTGGGGCTCCAACACCCCTCAAGTCAAAGTCCACTTGTCTGGCCAACAACTGCACATTCAATGAGCTTCCCCCACTGCACCAAACCCACAGTGTTTATCCTCAAAATGCCTCCCCACCTCGGCCTCTCCCAGCCCAGCAAGAGCACTCCGTGCTTGTTTTGCTGGTTTTTTTTTTAACCACAAATTTGATTCAGGTTTCTTTTTTTCTTTTTTTGCCAGGCTTGGCTTTCCTTCTGTCAGAAACAGCACAAAAACAAATTGTTCTTCTCCTTTGAGCCAGAGCAGGGGCAGGGCAGGCCCAGAGCTCTGTCCAGGCGAATTTGAAACACAGGAAGATAAAAAAATCATCGCAGCAACCTTTGTGCTGATGGCCTGTGAGCACACAGGAGACCCCAGCAAGGGAGATGTTCCCCATCAGCACTAAATCTCCCTGCCAGGACAGGCCTGYTCTGCTCTGATTTGGCACAGGAATGTTTTTCCAGGCTCTCCTTGGTCCCTGGTGTGATGGGCAGAAGCTGAGCTGGTCCAGGGGCATGAGGGCACCCCCAGAGCCCCAGGGGCAGCAGGGACAGGAGAGCCCCCATCGCTCACCACGAGGGTGCTCAGGACACTCCTGAAGGTCCTAAAGCTCTTTCCTGGTTTTGAAAGGAATTTTCCCCTCCCACAGACTCAGTGCTGGGGATTCCTGCAGCATAACCCAGCTCTCCCTGCCCTCCTGCCCCACAGCAGTGCCCTTACCTGGTCCAGCACCCAGGGAATCCTGCAAAGAAAGAGGGAAAATCTCAGTGGAGACACGTTGGTCTCAGTTCTCTCTACCAGTACCCACCATGGATGGGAAAATCGTCCCCAGACCTCCCTGGTACCCCCCAGCCCATGGTGGACAAGGACAAAGTTGGGGTGAGGAAAAGGCCAAACCACGTACCTGCTCTGCTGAAGAACCTGCAAGGGAAATGGTGGGAGAAAGGGTTAATTTAACAGGCAACAAACCCCAATTTCTGCTTCTCTCCAYGCTGGGAGTATCAACAAGCTGGCATCAGGGTGGGATTTGATGGGGGAAGCCCAAAGCAGGGGTCACTYGGGTCATTTCTCTGCTGCAGGACCTGGGCAGTGACTGCAGCCAGGCARGGGCAGCTCCTCACTGGCACAAAATTCTGCAATTTTGTTCCTTCCTCTCTCACTCCCCACCCAAAACCTCCCCAAAGCCCTCCTGTGACACCCCCTGGAGCATCACCAGGGCATAGCTGTGTCCAGTCTACACCAAACACACAATTTTTTGCCATATTTTGGRAYATTTGRCATGCAGAGACSAGCTCTCTCCTCACCAGAAATGCTCTCMCTGCTGCAGACCCTCCTGCTTTCACCATGAAATGATGAAGAAGTGATTATCTCCTTTAAATGCCCATCCACAAGGGCTGGAGCATCCCACCCACTGCTCAGAGATGCCATCCCTGGGATGCAGCTCGGAGTTTTAGGGGATTTTGTGTGTTTTTTTGAATCTTTTAAACCAGCCATGTGAATTACAGGTGGCTGGGAGCACACCGATATTTTTTATGCATTAACAAACATCAGTGCTTTACAGAACGGATCTCTCAGATCATTCACAAAACAAAATCACTCACCCATCTTGCAGGGAGGAATGATCTCCAAGCACTCCTTGTGAGCACCTGCTCCACATTTGGGGCAAAGGTAGCCCTGGTAGAAAGTTCCTCTGTGCCAAAAAAAAAAAAAAAAAAAATCAGAAAATCCCAATCCAGCCTCAACTTTGAGATTTTTCCTTTCCATGTTTTAGTGCAGAACAGAGGGAAGGTCACTGCTCACCTCAGGAACATCCTGCAGGCTTTGCAGTTGGTTGTCTTTTCAAATGTGTACATCTGGAAGTTGTGGTGATTTGCAGTGGCTTTCTCTGGCTTTATGTTGGACCTGAGGGAAGGACCTGGGGGTCATCACCATGTCCCCACGGGGCTGTTTGCATTGCAGTCCCAGCTGGGACAGATATGAAATCCAGCATGAAAGGAGATCACAGAGGCTGTGCACAGAGGGTTTTGCCCTTCCCCTGGGACAGGAGTCACGGATTTGGCCCTGGCCTGAGTCAATCATCAGCCCAGAGCTGTGGTGTGGGTCCAGTCCTGCTCCTGCTCTGCTCAGGACCAGCTCCTGCAGCACCACCCTCCCTCCTCACCCTCCTGCTYCATCCTGGTGCTCCCTCACAGCCCAGCACCACRGTGAGGTGTCCTTCAGRGGATCACAGACTGATTTGGGTTGGGAGGGACATTAAAAATCATCCCATCCCACCCCTGCCATGGGCAGGGACACCTCCCACTGYCCAGGGTGCTCCAAACCCTGTCCAACCTGACCTTGGACACTGCCAGGGATCCAGGGGCAGCTCCTGTGGGAATCCTGTGCCAGGGAAGGATTCCTTTCAAATATCCCATCTCAATTTCAGAGATAACCCCCATTTTCAGAGATGCTTTGGTGGGGATGCTCAGAGAASGGTTCCAAGCTCCTTTTGCACATCCCACACGAACTTTCAGCCCAGAGCTGGTCCCCAGTGCCCTGATGGCCCCAGACACTTCTGGAGCAGCCCCTCACGCTCACATGGCCATTTCAAACTGCTCCATCCACTTCCTCTTCATCTCCTCTGTCTTGCAGAAGAACTGGAAGCCCTGTTTCCCCTGCAGGTGGATCAGGTAGAAGCCGTACGACCACTGCAAGGGAAAAGMGAGATGAACACAGCAGAACACASCCCCMAAAAACTTCCATTCAMACAGCTCAGCCACCACTCTGAGGCYCTGAGGGTCTGCCCTGTCCCTGCTGTTCAGGGAAGGGCAGAAAGGAGGAAGGAGGAAGGAGGAAGGAGAGTTCCCTGCTCCTCCAACATCGCGGGTAATGATGCCTGAACCCCGCTGGCGCCTCCAGCTCAGACCAGAGAGCATTTCATGGTGGCAGACGAGAGAGCCCGGATTTTTCTGCTCCACTGGATCCTCCCCAGCCACTGTGTCCCTGGCTGACAGCAAGTGACAGCCCAGGAGGAACATCTGAGCTGCCCACTGCACATATGCTCAGCCTGTCTCCTCACCCCGCTGCACACACACACGCCACGGCCACAGGGAGCTTTGCTTACCATTTTTCCATGAGACTAGAAAGCATGGGAGAGCAAAGTGGAAATAGATTTCAGTCAAACACCGAGCCAGGCAGCAAAACTGGCTGTTCCCACCCCGCTGTCCCCCATCCCATCCGTGCCAGGGCTCTTCCCGTGGTACAGGAGCAGATTAAGCTCACTGGGCTCTGCTAAAGTGAGAGCTGGGAGGTTTTCCCTCCATGGCTGCAGAATGAGCACTAAAACACAGGAAAATGATGCTCCCTCAGTGCTTCCAGTACCAATTCTGGCAGCCTGGGGTGCAAAGCTGCCTTTTCCAGGCTCCTCCACCCTGCAGCTTGTGTGAGCAAGAACACCCTGGACCTCCCTCCCTCCATCCCTGCCCTCCTCTCCTGCCCATCCGATGTCTGTGCCCTGACACGGAGCCAGAAAACAGGGAGCAGCTTCCTCCCTCCCAGCCCCAACCATCCCAGCCTGCTCAGGGCTGCTCTGCCAGGCCACAGGTCAAGGATCCAGCCCAGCSCCACGTTAATAAACATTTCCCAGCGCTCTTCAAGGCTGCCCTGGAAGCTGAACGTTTATTTTCCAGCTTTTTGCAARCCCCTGTTTCTATTTTAAAAGGCTAATGGGAACACACTACCCTGAAACAGCTCCAAACTGCTCTCCAGAGCTAATCCTTGCTMCACCTACCTTCTTAATGTCCTTGTTATTCATGGGGTCATCAGTCATCTTGTGGAAGAGCAGCTCGATAATTTCCTTCAGCTCATAGTTGTACCCTTTCCTCTTGCAGACGATCACCACTTTATCAAATAAAAATAAATACCTGCCCAAAGCAAGCAAACAAACAAGGAACCCAGTCAAACAAACAAGGAACTCAGTCAAACACCTCATTAAAAAACCCGAGGGGAAGGATTTGGAAAGCTCTGCAGGGCTCCCCAGTCGGTGTTGTTCAATTCTTGGCCCCTGCTGGGATTTCACGTCGATGCTGGGCTGTGTCAGTGAAATTCCAGACAATAATTAAATAAATGAGCTCACAGGGAGTCGTCAAATGAGTCTGGGGATGTTTCTGAGTGCTGCCCACTCACCTGTCCTGTTTGGTGTGGTTGACTATGGAGCGCACCTTGAGCTCCCCRTCGATCTTCGGCCGCCCAAACTCCTCCAGCTTCACTTGCTGCAGGAAGGAAAGCAGGGCTCAGACCCACAGCCAGGCCTGGAACGCTGCTCTGGGCAGGTAGAAACCCCAAAAAAGCCCAGATTGCACCCTCCCAGCCCTGCTCAGGCTGGCAGAGCTCTGGGAGCAGCATCACCTTCCCAAAGGGAGCCAAGGATGCTCCAAGGGGAATCTGCACAGGAACACGGRTACAGGACCCCAGGAAACCCCAGGGYACCCCAGGGCAAGGCTCAGCAGCCRAAGCATTTTTKCAAACMCYTCCCCACCTCYAAAAASCTGTTTTTCAGAGGTTTCCACAATAATGAAGGATTTTTGCTGTTAAGTAATCATCAATTAAAAGCTCATCGTTCCCAAAGGAAGTCAAGGCTTAAATCCCCCAAACTCAGCACCCCTCCTGATGCACAGCAATGGAAATGYTTGACACCTCTGGAGTTTGGAGGATGAGATTCTCCTTAAAACACCTGGGTGAGATTTTTGGGGCATTCGGTGTCTTATTAGATGAGCCCTTCTCCTCCACTTTCAGTTAACCTCTGTCCTCTCAACAGAAAATTCAGTTTAACAGAAGACAGATAGGGGGATTTTTGTGTCCTCTGTAAACTAATAATGCGAGAAAAAGCCAAACAAATGTTTTTAGGGTAAAACCAACAAGAGATGTAACCTTCCACCACAGCCAAAGCAGCTTTGTGATGGAGCATCCACCCCTGGACCAGCAGCAAAACATGAGAGAGTGTCTGAATACATGGGCACTAACAGAAATTGCCCCTCCAAAAAAACAAATATGTTAACAATAATCATACTAAATTGGTTTTAAGAGGATTTTCCAACTTACCAGGTTTTCTATAGAGCTYTGAAATTCACTTATTTTCTTTAAAGTCTCTTTGTCCCTCTTGACTTCATTGATGTACATGGCCAAGTCCTTAAAAAAAAAAAAAGGTGAACGGTTATTGTTTACTTGACCAGTTCCTCACCCAGGAGAACAAACGTGAGCCTGGCTCCCTGAATTCCTCAGGAACTCCAGAGATCCCGGGACAGGCGAGCACAGGCTGTTGGTGCTGCAGTGTTTTCCATTTCCCAGAAGATGGCAATGCACGAATCCCTGGCAGTGCACGAATCCAGAGCAGCACAACCATCCCAAACCCCAAATTTTTATCCTTCAAAGAGACGCCATCCCTTCCACCGAAACAACTTCTTGCACCTTTCAGAGTGAATTTGTTGTGCCTGTTTGCTTCTTATCTGCTCCCTCCTTGACCTCAACAACAGCTCCTGTCAACTTGGATTAAATCTGAACAGGGGATTTTTAAAGACATSCCCCTCGGGTCAGACCTTGCTCAGCTCCTCAACACAGGAAGGGTTAAGCACAGCCCATAATCACAGATCTACRTGACAATATTTGTAACATCAMCCGGGCGGGGATGGCAGGGACGATGATGAGAAATGACACAGCCAAAAGCCTCCTGGAGCAGGGAAACACACAATCCCAGGGAAACACACAATCCCAGGGACACAAAACCCCAGGGACACAGAAATCCAGGGACACAGAATCAATCCCAGGGACACACAAATCCAAGGGAAACACACAATCCCAGGGACACAAAACCCCAGGGACACAGAAATCCAGGGACACAGAATCAATCCCAGGGACACACAAATCCAGGGACACAGAAATTCTAGGGAAATACAGTTAGAGGGATATACAATCCCAGGGACACACAAATCCAGGGACACAGAATCAATCCCAGGGAAAARGTCAGAGGGACGCACAAATCCCAGAGGAACACAATCAGAGGGACACAGAATCCCAGGGACACACAAATTCCAGGGAAACACAATCCCAGGGACACAGAATCAATCCCAGGGACACAAAAATTCCAGGGAAATACAGTCAGAGGGACACACAATTGCAGGGACACACAATCAATCTCAGGCACACAAAATCCCAGGGACACAGAATCCAAGGGACACACAAATTCCAGGGAAACACGGAATCAGTCCCAGGATCAACCACGACTTCAAACAACAACGTGCAAACGCTGGCTGTGGAATTTCACCGGGAGCTGCCTTTCCCCCATCACTGAGGACTCCGTTCTGCATTCTCAGGTGGAGAAACCAGAACCAGAAACGATTTTTTTTTTGGTGAAAATCCTGCCCTTGCCTTGCAAAACCAACTATTGATGCAAAATAAAAGGGAGCCAAATCCCTTGGGGAACGTCACTCCATCCACACCCCTTACCCAGCCCTCGCCCCAGACAGCAGCCATGTCAGCACAGCAGACAGAAAGGCTGGACTTGTGATGAAAGACTTTGCTTGGAAGTTAAGCCTCGGTTTACAGATCAATTAAAACCAAACCRAGYKGCTCCCAAAACCCCCCGAGCCCAGYRCRGTCAGAACTGCCCCCACACTGATGGGGAGGAGAAGGGAGAAACCTCCCTGATGGTTATCAGTGCTTTCCTGCAAGAAATGCTGAGCCTGCAGCAGAGCCAGAGCAAACAGATATTTATTTTCCAGCAGCAGTGCTGGTGCTGAGGCCACGAGCGGGGTTTAACCGCTGTCACCGGGTCCAGCGTTCATCTGAGGCCACCACAGCGAGAGCATCGTCCTTCAAACAACCCTACAGAGAGCCAGCAGCAGCTCTGGGTGCCCGGGCTGGCAGGGAAAAATGGCTGGGAAGGTCACCCAGATTATGTAAGAGCCAGGAAATGCTGTGGTGTTACAAAAGCTGCAGCTCCCAGAGGGAAAATAAAGTGACCGCGAGCATCAGAGCAAAACAYGGGGATGGATGGATGCTGAGGTGCTCTCCAGAGAGAAAATCTGGAGTTAATGAGGGTCCTCAACTCAGCTCTGCTGACTGTGGATGTGTGTGTGAGGAGATATATCCCAGTCAGAAAACATTTGGATGATTCTAACAATTTTATTTTTTTGTTGAGGATGTTTTTCTCGAGATTTTGGGGGTTTCATCCAAAAGCTGAAAATAAGTAAAATAAAATAATGATGCTGGAAGACCATCACCCAGGCGGGGATGGCAGGGACAGTGATGAGAATCAATTGCTGAAAGAGCATTTTTCCTTTGACAAAACAAAATAATTTAAATGGTGGATTAAAGGATTCCCACCCAGCACCTGGCTAAGAGCACCCACGGAATGCTCCCACTGCTGCCACACTCCCTGACTCACTGATCCTTCTGGAGCTCCTCCAAATCCCTCCCAGCAAAAACAAGATTTGGATCTGGCACAGCCTCTTTGCACACAACAGCAATGGGAAAAGTTGTAATTTGTCACCAAAGCCAAGCTCCCACCGCTGCCTCGGGATGAGGACAGCAGTGACAACGCATCAAATGACAATCAATACCCACAGCTGGGGCTGAAAAGAGGAATCCTTGCCTTCCCTCTGTGCTGGATGGTTTTTCCATCCAAGTTTTGGTGTCACAGAGCAGAGGGATCCTGARCTCTGCTGTCCCCAAAGCCCCCTCCCTGCTGCCACCCTCCTGTACCTGCATCGCCTCCAGAGCCTCCTTCAGCTGCTGCTTCTCTGGCCGGTCCGTGGAATGGCTCAGCAGCTCCTGAAAATGTGTAAATAAATAAAAATGAAGGGTTTGGATGTGCTAGGAAGGATGCCCAGGCCCTGCCTGCACTGGACAGGGTTAGACTGCAGACACTGGCCTGAGCACTTGCAGAGTGGTGACAGGGATGCCAGGGGGGATGCAGGAATTCCAGGGGTGACTGGAGGGGTGCCAGGGTGACAACAGGGATGCCAGGGAGGTGGCAGGGATGCCTGGGTGACAACAGGGATGCCAGGGAGGTGGCAGGGATGCCAGGGTGACAACAGGGATGCCAGGGAGGTGGCAGCGATGCCTGGGTGACAACAGGGATGCCAGGGAGGTGGCAGGGACACAGGGATGTCCGGGCAGGCCGCTGTGGCCATAGGACAGGAAACACACCAAGGGCTGGTGCTTGAGAAATCTGTTACACGAAGCTGACAGAAGGAATTTCACACATAATCAGATTATATGCAAGCTTATTTTATATTCATTAAGTGCCTCTYGTGGCTAACAAGTGCAGAATTACCCTGGGTCACCGTACTTTAGGAGACACCACAAATATTATTGTCGTGTTAAGTAGCTGTAGTAATTATTTTATTTGAAGGRGAATAAAAACCCCCAACCTTTGCTCTGCATTTGGCAACGATTCACCTTCCACTGATAGAGCTGGAAGGTGCTACAGCAGAGAGAGAAGTGCCAGAGCTGTAAAACTCACTTTTAACAGGAGATGATACTTCAAAACTCTTTGCATTGGAACCACCAGCAGATCTTGCAGTTTGAATTTCCCATCCTGGACCTTCAGCGTGCATTCCTAGGAAAGAGATCAGTGAGGCAGCTGAGGGGAAAAACAGCAGCTTCCCACCCCAAAAAAAATCTCCAATGTCTTGTAGATGCTTGTTTGGCTTCTGTAAACTCAGCTGGGGTTCCACCACTGAGGTTATCAAGGAATTAATCCTGGGGCTGGACCCTAAAATTCAGCCATGGCCATATGAGTGAGGCACTTAATGAGCTGCTGTTAATTAGGGCAGAGCAGGAATGCTCTCAGACCTGGGGAAATGTCACACCAAACGCATTTGCCACCCTCATGTGGCTGATCCGTGAGGGGCTGGCACTGAGCATTCAGCCTGTGGCTCTGGAGCCGCTGATGAGCATTAAGCCATTAAGATGAGCTAATTGTGGTCGCAGGAAGTTTTGTCACTATTACCTTGGCCCAGACCCATTTCCAACACATGAAACAACCAGGGCTGCCATGAAGGTGGGAGAGACAGGAAAAGGGAGCACCTGGATGCCCCAGCCTWGCTGTGAGACCCAGAGATCACACCCTAAACAATTCCTAAATGCAGTTTGATCCCTGAAATGGGTTTGCACGGGGAATCAGAGCGCGTTTGCGGCAGGCAAGGTAACGCGTGCGGACAGCCCGGCAAATTCTGATTAGCACCAGGAGCAAAGCTGGAATTGGAGCTGCTGTTTCCACCCAGGCCTAACAATTCACCCCTTCCAGGGCTCCTTTGATTCCTTTAATATCTGMATCAGCCCCTATTCATGGAGCCTTTAGGCTGGGGAAGGAGGCCAGGGCAGAATTCCAGTGTTTGCCCAGGGACTGGGGTTACCTCTGATGGTGCTGATGGATTTGGAAAAACCAACATGGAAAACCCTGTGGAGCCTGGCTTGGGGATGCTCAAGGCCTGACCAACTCAAACAACTTGTCCCAGCCAGCCCCACTCAAATAAAGTCACTGAGTTGTTTTAATTTGAATAAATTCAGAGAGGAAGGACAGAGAACGGGTCTGGCAAGGAGATACGGGAAAAACAAGGGGTCAGGACAAGACAACCCCCAGCTTTGCTCTCTCTATGGGCAGCACAGCTCACTCTCACACCCCTCTCCTCCTCTGCTAAATCAAACATTCCCCAGACACCATTCCCAGCTGCAGGAAACCCTTCCAAACCCTTTCCAAACCAAGGGGTGGGCAGCACTTCTCACCTCCACCTTCTGCCGGACATCCTCACGGTTGGCAAGGAGGTGGTTCAGGGTGTTCTGGGCATATTCCATGTGGCTGCAGTACTTGCCATAAATCAGCAGCCTGGAGAGGGGGAAAATCACAGATTTAACTGGAAAGGATGGCAGTTATAAGCTGTTATAAAAGATATATAAACGTGTGTACAACGGAAGGACAAGGCAAACAGCTATTTCTCTGTGTAACTGCTTAGTAAAGTATAAACACTCTTTTATTGCGGGGCTTTTGGACATTTAAACCTTCAACATTTAAACATTTAGGAGTTTTTAGAGTCCAGAGAAGGTTATTCAGCTCATGATGAACAGAAGGGGCTGGATGGCCAGAGCAGAGGAGCCTGGTTTTGGAGGGTTAGATGAGRTACTGGGATCAAATTCTTCCTCATAAGGGTGGTGATGAACTGTCAAAAATTGCACAGTGAATTTGTGGCTGATCCTGGAAGTGTCCAAGGCCAGGCTTGGGACAATCTGGGATGGTGGAAGGTGTCCCTGCCCATGGGACTGGATGAGTTTTAAGGTCCCAAGCCAAACCATTCAGTGATTCTAAGCCAATTTTCTCCCACATTTTAGAATCATCCCTTCTTCAGAGAGCCACAGAGACCCAGAGATCAAGAGCCTGGCTAATTGGGAAAAGAAGGTTGTCACAGCCTTTGGAAACACAGCACGGACTCCCTGGGCTATAAATTTAAACACCTGACAAAAGAGAGCAGTTCTGTCATGGATTGCCCCCTTTTCCTCAYTTCCCTCATTAATCCTGCCTGACAGGTTTGGGTTTTCCCCCCCTCCCTGTCCCTTAACTGTTCTGCTGCTGATAAGAGGCATCTTCCATCACTCCCTGCAGCTCATCCATTATTTGGGAGCCTTGTCTCTGGCTGGAGATGATCTGGGAGCCACTGACCCAGCGCTGCTCCATAAACACGGGACACTCACAGCCCGGGGGGAAGTGAATAAAGAGATTTATGGAGCCACAGCCCCGCAGCCAGCACAGATTATTCTTCTGCCTTTCCCCCCTGACAACTTGTGCACAGGCACAATAATATCTACCTTGCCAGCACGGGGAGAGYTTCAAAGAGGCTTYGGGAGCATAAATTCAAACCTCTGGYTTCYAGAGAAAAGAGATTTACAAACTATTTCCTTTTAAAAAGCCCCTGCAAAGCCGAGGAGCAATGCATCATTTTGCCAGAATGTCTCTGAGGATGCAGAGGGAAGCAGGAGAGATTTGTCATGGACAGATTTGATGGAGGAAGATCTCCTGTACAGGGACCAAGTGTGGACTGTGAGGTTCATGTTCCTTTCCTGGYGGGGTAACTCCATCTCCCCAGTGAGTTCACTTTCTCCTCCTCCTGAATTTCCTAATTTCTTTGCTGTAAAATGTGGTATTCTTGYCTTTCCTGATGTGGAAAAGGACTGTGCCTGTTCACAACAGGTTGCTCCAAACTCTTCACCCTCAAGAATCTGGTTTTGGGGGTTTCTCCAAGGCAAAACTCCCCTTGAGCAGCAGCTTCCCAAAATCCCAATGGACTGAACAGAATCCACCATCACCACCTTGCAGCCACTGCTCTGGCTCCTCCACTCACATCTTTCCAAAGCTTTTAGGTCCTTCAAGAAGTTGTTTGTGAACTCTCCCAGGAATGGGGTCAGTGTGTTCACCCATGAATGGAACATTTATTTAAAAGCTCAAAACCAATCCTCGTGCTCCGTGGGACATCCCTGGGGAGCAGTGCCACCTCCACAATTCCCTTCCCTGCYCCAGGGGATGGCACTGGCACGCACACAGCTGAGCCAGGAATTAGGAGATCAAAGCCACCTAAGTGAGTTTCATGAGTATTTTTTAATTATTTGCATTCTTCTTTGGGAACTTTTTTTTTTTTTTTTAAATTTAATCCAGAAAAAATGCCCTTTGTAACGAGAAGAACGATGGAATATGTGACCTCACGGTGTGTTATTAATGCAGATGGTATTTCTGGACTTATTGACTTCTGAATGGCATTTCTGTGTCTAGACACTGGTTTAATCACAGTGAAATAACAGCCTGGCACCGTTCCACAATGAATCACCCTTTGATTAGTATTAAGGATATTAAAGGCTTTTATCAACCTTATCTCTGCGTGCTGGGGTGCTGCTGCCTGCAGCTGCCAACGCACAGGATCGATTCTGCTGCTCAAAGCCACGTTTTAGTCATCGTGAAAAAAGGTGCTGGGCCAAAAAAATGGGATTCCTGAAGAGTGAGGAATCGCTTTGATCTACTCAGGGACAAGTCTGYCCTGCACAGGACTCGTCCCACCACATCACAGGAGACCACACGAACACCCTGAGGGTTTTAATGATGTTTTGGTGAGGTTTTAGTGAGGTTTTAGTCCATTCCAGCTCACCACAACCCAAGCGTTCCCATTTTTTTGTGTCCCCACAAACACTTTGGATATTCAATCTCCCATGGGATGCTGAGCTCAAGAAAAACCCAGGTGCTTGCAGGGAAAAGGATCCACACGACTGAGCCTGGCTGGGAACAGAGGAGATGTCCCAGGCTCTGCCCTGGGYGACCTGACACAATTGTGGATGGATTTGGCTGCTCAGTGTCAGCACTGAGAGATTTTTCAGCTGCTTGAGAGTGTTTTGCTGTGGAGGATGCAAACCTGGGCTGCTGGGAAAGGCATTTCTGAAATTATGGAATTACTGAGGGTGGAAAAGGCCTCAAGAACATCACCATTAACCCATCACTGCCACTAAACCACGTCGCCAAGCACCACAGCCACACATTTCTTGGACACTTCCAGGGATGGTGACCCCAGCCTGTTCCAGTGCTCRACAACCCTTCCAGTGAAGGAATTYTCACTAAAATCCARTCTAAACSTCCCCTGGTGGAACTTCAGGCTGTTTCCWCTTGTCCTGTCTTTGTTACTTGAGAGAAAAGACAGATCCCCACCTGGCTCCCACCTCCTTTCAGGCAGTAGCMGAGAGTAACAGAGAGCTCTGTTTGAATCTCTGAAAATATTAACCCAAATCTGTTAAAACTGGAGCTGCCTGAACCCCCGAATTCCTTTACCTCTCCTTGAATTCCAGGAACACTTTCGCCAGGCTGCTTCCTCCAGACATCATCGAGACATCGATGGCTCTCAGGAAACTGAAGTGCACTTTAATCAGGTCCTAAAACAAAGCATCAGTCGATACTTTAAACACGTTCAAAGCCAGTGGGCAAACAGAGCCTAAAGAAATGCAAACTCTCTACTTCATCAGGCAGGTTTTTTCCTCCTCTTTTAGGTGTTTTTAAAGAAAGCCATTCTAGGGGGGGATTGAGAAGGAGATGGGATGGAAGGAGTGGAGGAAACGCCAGGTTTTGACCCAGACCCTGCTCAAACCAGAGAAGAAATAAATCCCTTCATCACCCTGTGTCCAAACCACTAAACCCACCGAAATCCACAGCCCCAGCCCTGAAACATGCAGCAGATAGAATTGTTTCCTTACCTAAGAGTCAATCTATCCCCCGAGTCTAAAATTAACTGTTAAAAAACATCTCTTAAACCAGTTTAAGCTCCACAACACGTGAAAGGCTGAAGCTCTCCAGGTGAATGCACAAATCTAACAGGAAATCAGAAAACCTCCTCCTAAGCAGGGAGAGGGCTGAGCTGCTGTGAAAAGAACAMAGATTTGAGGCACAATGCCCACAGTGTTACCTCCAGGTTGATAAAAATAGCTTCCATGTCTTGGGGAGTCAGTACCAGCCTCAGGGGGTTCATGTAGTTCTGCAAGAGGGAAATGGGAAAGGGATTGAGAAACTGGAGAGGAGGGAATGAGGATTTATTTTTTCTGCTTCCTCAGCTGAGTTTACCTGGTTTTGCCAGGTTTTTCTTTCACCAGGTTTTAATGGGTTCAAACATTTGTAAAGGCAGAGAACGAGCAGGGATAGGAGTGGGAAGCAGGAATTGTCACAAGTGCATCACCCCTGAGCTCCCCTCAGCTCCCAGGGCACTTCCAGARGGTGGGAAGGTGCAATCCCCACCCCATGGGTGCCCAAATCCTAAACCTGCAGCAATGGGGGTGAAATGCACCCAGCTCTGGCTGCACTGAAGCGTCTCCTCAGCTCTTTTATCTCCCTGGAATGCTGCCCTTGAAAATGCACCGATGATGTGATTACATGGGCAATGCCTTCCTGAACAAATACATATTAATGGGACATCTACGTGACTTGGGACTGCAAAAAAACAAAAAAAAACCCAACACAAYGCACCCAAAATGGGAACTTCCCCCCATAAAACCATCAGAACCCACAAAGCCTTTGCAAGCTCTAATTGATATGAAAGCAATAATKTAACTCTTCCTTTATGCTGAACCAGAGGGCTGTGGCTGTTTCCAAGGAATAAGGGTTCCTTAGAAACATAAATTACACATATATTGGGACATTTTTTCTGGAAAATGGGAAATGTTATTCCACTGTGCTGCTTTTGCTCACAGCTTCTTCAGGGGAACTTCCAGCAGACAGAGGGAAAGAATGGCAAAAAGGGGATGAAACAAAAGCATCAGGATGATTAGGAATGGCAGCTTGATTTCCATTATTGTTCTTCCTTCCTGCTGCTTTCCTTGGAGCAGGCTCCAGCCACGACTCCAGCCTCGCTGAGGTGTTTGCTTGTATTTGTTTTTAAGAGAAAGGCACCGMAACAATTCATCAAAACCAATTAAAACCCCGTGAATTGAGGCAGCAGAATGTTACTTTTAATCCAATTAGCTTCCATGGCAAGTCAGCACAGCCTCAGCACTTTTGGAAAGCGTTTGGAATAAAGGAATTACTCCATGGCAATCCGAGTGATAAGAGATATCTGAAAAAATATGGCTCTTATCAGCAAACTGAGTGAGGAGTGGGAGATTCTCACCCCAGGACAGGGGGGACACAGCAGGAGTGTTCTCAGCCCATTTCTGATCTGTAGCAATCAGAGAAAAAAAAAATAAAATTTTTTTTTGTTCCTAGTCTGCACATTTGTGCCTGTCAGCCTGGGTTTTCTGGAGCCCCTTTCCTTCTTATTTTCCATGTGGATGCATCGATCCTTCCTCCTCACATCTGCCAGCTCTGGGAGCAAAAAACAAAAAAAAAAACCAGCCCAGCACAGCTGATGTGGGATGCAGGGCTGGTGGGGATGCTGTRGAAAAGGTGGCCTCAGTTCTTACCTTTTCTATATCTTCAAGTGTTTTGTAGTATTTGGCCTCGGTCTCTTGGATTTCTAGCAAACAGCAATTCCTTTTGTCATCTTCTGTCATTCCCATTTTCTAGGAAAAGGGAAAATAAAAGGCATGGTCAGATAGACCTAAGGGGTGGTGCAGAAACCTGGTGGAGCTCCAGTTCAGCCTCCAGTTACAGCAACCAAACAGAAGTTTGAAAAGTCAGGAGAGAGTCACTACTTGGTTATGCTAAAGGGAACTATTTTAATCCAAAATGTATGAGGAGGAAGCCTGGCTGTGTTTTTAAATATGTTTCAACATGGAAAACACTGCATTTTTTGCATTTATTACAGCCACACCACCAAATATTATCAGCTAAGGAAAAATAGTAAGAGATAAACTCTGTTTTTTTCCTTTTTTAATTATTTTTTTGTTGCTGAAGACGTAACTCACAGCAGATACTAAGTGGGTCATAAATAATACGTTAGACTTATACAAATCCCTGGCCAGGGGGGTGCCAATTCTCACGATTTTAGGTCAAATCTGATAAAATGTGCTTTTCCCAAAGGCCCAACTCCTGGAGCCACTTCTGCTCTGACATCTGGAAGGCTGAGAACACATATTGGGAGCTGCTGCACTTGGCAGGGCAGAATCTGAATTTGGGAGGGGATTCAGTGATGGGGTTTTAGGGATCATGCACAGGAACAGAGACCCTCTGTCCACCCCCTCAGCACTCACAGCTCAGACCCATGAATTGGACAAAACCCCACATTTGAATCAATTCATCTTACCTGCATATATCTAATCTGAAGCATGCAGAAATACAAGAAGCCATTAGCATCACACACTTGCTACAGCAACAAATTTTACCCCCCCAAAAAATTCAGTGTTTGGGCAGGTGTATTGAAAATAGACTTTTTTGGGCAGGTGTATTAAAAATAGACTCTTTTGCTCAAGGAAGGGGAGGGAGAGGGAGTCACAGCTCTCAACTCTAACTGCTGCTCAGCAGAAAACGTAAAAAAATGTGGAGGGGATGGTGAAAAATTGCCAGTTCCACTGACCTTAATCCTATCCTACCTGCCTGCTGGAGCTTTCCCCCAATTTTGCCATTTATGCAAGAAAATCCTACCAGAAAAAAAGGGGCAGCTCTTGGGCCAGAAGGCTTCTGCAACTGGTGGCAAAAAACACTGAGGGCCAACGAGCTGTGCTGACTTCAAGCACTTTGGCCAAATCAGGGGGAATTTTTGGTCCCAAATAATTTTTTTTTTTTTGGTTTTGGAGTGAGGGGAGCTCTTCCAGCTGCAGCCAAGGTGTGAAGGGATGAAATTCCTCAACCACCACCAGCAGCAGTGAAGGGATGAAATTCCTCAACCACCACCAGCAGCATCTTTGTCCCAGTTGCAGGCAGCTGGGAAAGGGGGGGAATGAGAGCAGAGGCACCCACGGGTGCAGCTCCCAGGCTGGGAAAGGGGGGGAATGAGAGCAGAGGCACCCAGGGGTGCAGCTCCCAGACTCTCGTGTCTGCCTCAGCCACATCCCACTCCAGGGATTTCACTGATCACTCAATTTGTCCATTAATCCTGCTTTATTAGGGGAGGTGTGCACTGTGTGAAGCAGAGGAGAGTAATTAGAGCCTGAACAAACCCTGGGGGTTGCAGATATTGGAGCGAGGGAGAAAATTTGGAAAGTCACAATCTGGAAAAGGTCCTTTCCAGCTCTGCTCAGCGCTGGGGACATTGACAGGAGGTGGCTGTGGGCACCTTTGGGGTGGTGCAAGGGCCACCAGCACCTCTCTGGCTCATCCATGGAGGGTAAAATTCGCTCCAGAGCCCCTGGAGATCACACGAGTCCCCTGWGAGGCTGGGCACACCTCACACTCAGGGTTCCCCTGCAGCAGAAGCTTTTCAGGGGTGACAAATGGGGATGGCTCTTTGTCCCTAATGCCACACGGGTGCCTGCACCCCAAAAAGCTCCTCTGTGAACATCTCCCTGCCCTGAGCCACCCAGGTGGGAGCAGCAGGCACAAACAGCTGGATTCCTCACACACTGATCGGGCAGCATTCACCCCAATCTGAAAATACAGCACCTCTGGCTCCCTGGAAAGGCTGGAGTGGCACGGGCTCAGCAGAGAATTCCTATTTTCAGCTTCTCTTTTAGGGTTTATTATGTCTCCYTTTSCCCTCCTCCTCCCCAAACTCCTTCRGGTGAYAGGCTGGGCTGGGAMACTCCGTTTTKAGGAGCCACCCAAAGCAATTCCCTCCCCTGCAGCATCACCATTTCAGAGTCATTCCCTCCAGGAACCCCCTCCCAGCGGGTGTAGCTGTGAGAAGGCAGCTGAGCTGTTACCATGGGCTGCTGAACCTCCACTCTGATGATATCCTCGTAGATATCATCACCCTCATCCTCGCAGGGCACGCAGTCGTAGATGTCCTCCCCCAGGTCGTGYTCGCTGCAACGAGAAGGACAAGGAGTCAGGGGCAGTGAGGAGAGGATGCTCAATGTCACTCCAGCAGGCAAATAAATGCTCTCACACCGAGGAGAAGCACAGTAAGAAAATCCCGTGAAAATTCATGTGCTCAGCCCGTGCTCTCTGTTTTTCCCGCATCAGTGCCCGCTGCACTGATTTCTTTCCGCTGGCTGGAGGCTGGAAAAGGYGAAAGGCTGCTCCACACGAGCCAAGAGCTGCTCTGTGCCCCGTGCCAGGCATGCCCACGATGCCCAAGGGCTGCCAGCCCTGCCCTGCAGAGCTCCTGCTCGGCTCTAATGGGCTTGGCTGAGATGGATTTGCTGGCCAAGAGCCCATGGGACCAGCTGAGCCACCAGAGCCAGCAGCTCCAGCTCCTCCTGYCCCAAAGGTGCCCAAGAGCCCATGGGACCAGCTGAGCCACCAGAGCCAGCAGCTCCAGCTCCTCCTGCCCCAAAGATGCCCAAGAGCCCATGGGACCAGCTGAGCCACCAGAGCCAGCAGCTCCAGCTCCTCCTGCCTCAAAGGTACCCAAAGCCTCCTCTTCAGCTCCTCTTCAGCACCAGGAGCAGCTCTGGCAGCAGTGACTTCTCACCATGCTCAGAGAGCTCATTTTATGGGTTTTGATCTGCTTAAGGCACTGTGTTCCCTCCTCATCTCATTTTGCTTTTCCTCAATGAAAGGCTTCCTTTGTGCCAAAAAATCACCCCATTCCACGAGGCAGAGCTGCAGGAGCCCAGATCCACTCCAAGCAGGGGCAGATATTAAACACTCACCCCATGGCTGTGAGCAGGAGGAGAAGGATCCCACCCTGATGGATTAAYCCCCCTGGACTGGTCAGGACCCACAGCAAAGCCWGGGGCMGGCAGYGATCCCAGCCTGGCCATCCCACCCYGGTTCAGAAACTCTGGATCCATTTTATCTGAGYGATGCMCCAASCCATAAAGCCCAATCCCTGCCCTGWTGGGCAGCTGGGTGATYTCTAACCCAGCATTTCCCAGAGGAGCAGGAGGCTCTCCTGACCACCACAAAGCAATTTTGCTCAAATTTGGTGAGCAGAGCTCAGTAACAACATTTATATCAAAGAGAAATTAAGCAGCAAAACATCTCATTTTGAGAACCAGCCCCATCACAGGGAACTGCCCTGCTCTCACAGGCTTCAAAGGCATCTCAGAGATGCAGTGCCCAGTCTCAGCTAAAAGGTGATGGTGTTCAGTAATTAATTATCATCTGAGCCTGCACACCCCTCCCTGGGGCTCCTCAGCCTTGGAACACTTCTGAAAATTCAGCCCATATTAAATACCAATTAACAGCCATAATTCCAGAGCTTAAATCCACAGGTGCTGGCTGCTAACAGATCTCACTGAAGTCAATCCCACAGGATCAGGACACTGTGAAACGCTGGAACATCAACAGAGCTCGAGTACTTTACGAGCTGTGTCTTTCAACAGCAATATTAATTACACACAAATAAACCTGGGTGTGAAGCTGAGCTCCAAGTGTGACACTCAACATCTCTCCATTATTGATCAGGGAACAGCACAGCACATCTGCCTGCAAAACCCAAAACCGGGCTTTATTTCTCTGCTTAAACACAGCCCCTTCCTATTTTTTTTTTTTTTTTTTTTACGAACAGATTTATTCAATAAAAGTTTGGAGATTTTAAATAAACACCCCTGGCATGATGTATCCATCCCCATTCTTGCCGAGTGATGCATTGCAGCTGCTGCAATAATGCCCACTAATAGCTGGTGATCCATCTTCCCCCGCGCTGCCGCCGTTATTATCTGCACCAATATTTATATTCTCAGCTCCTCTCCTCACCCAGAGCCCGTGGCTCCCAGCTCCTGATGGATCTCCCTGCCTGCCCCTCTCAGAGTTCTGCTGTCTGTCCATACATCAAATGCCAYGAGCAGGAGCTCTGCTGGGTGTGGTACAGCCAGGAGGGTGGGGTGATGCTGATGCTGGAGCAGAGCCGGCTTGGAGCGAGGGATGAACATCTCCAACCCCACTGCAGCTCTTGGAAAGTGCTCTGGGATATGTGCAGAGGAGAAAATGGCACCCTGAGAGTCATCTGGGACTCCTGTCCCACACAACAACACCACCAGGTGCCACATCCAAGCCTCAGAGTCTGGAGCTGCTGTTCCCAGCCTGGAAAAACTCTCCTTTTCTCCTTCTCCATGAACCCTCGAGCTCTGGAGTGTGCTGGGAACACCCCTGAGAGAAACCAGGCAGTGTGTGATGCTGAAAAGTTTTTCACACAATCCTCAGGGCTGGGAGAGAGCTTTGATATCATCTGTTTCAACCTGAACCAGCAGCACCACGGTCGCCCCTAAACCAGAACCCCCTGTGCCCCACGGGGTCTGCTCCATCGTGGGCTGAGGCTGGAGGAGGAGGGTGCCCCACAGGACCAGCAGGAGAGAAATGGCCACCAAGGGACATTTCTGGAGTGCCCACTGCCAGCAGCCCTTGGACACAAACACCGCGTCCACCCTGTCTTGACAGCATCCTGCCACTGCCATTCCTCTGACAGTGGAGCCTCGCTGCTCCACTCCCTTCTACTCCTCAACACCAGAACAAACCCTTCCCATCCCTCATTTCTGGCTTTGGGCAAAAAACAGGARCAACTCCCATGTCCTGGGGCCATCCAGAAAGACACTTGCACTCCAGAGCTCTGGGGAGATGCACCAGAGTTGCTCAAAGCTGACAGCCGTGGCTGCGTTAAAACACTGCCATCGTCCAGCAGGCTGTTATTTATTAAAACACATTCTCAGTGCATCTCTGAGAAACACCAGAGGCTGCCAGCTTTATGGAGAGCAGTAAACCACGAGCAGCAGCCTCTCGTGGAGCAGCCCAGGAGCTGCCAAGCTCCCATGGATGCTGACATTGCTGCTCTGCAGATACTGATCCTCACTCGTCCCCACGCTGTGCCTGTCAGAGCTGAAAATGTGCACCCTCCCTGTCCTTAAAACAGGGATTGGGATGATTTGAGCCAGTGGCAACCTCAGGACACACCGGGTTCAGGCAGTAAATTCAGGATCCCAAGCGTRTCACGGGAGCAGATGGAACAACTTGAGCAAGGAGAGCCCCATCACCTCGCTCCTCACCAAGAAAAGCAATTTACTCCTTCAATAAAAGCAGCAGAGCCTGCGAGTCACCCGTGGGTATCAGAGTCTGATCTACAGCCTGGATCAGGAGATTCACTGGCAGCTCTGGGGTTAGGAAAGGGATTTCATCCTCCCTTCAGAGTTAAGGCCAGTCTTTGCAATTGCTGTTATGAGGATGGATGCGACCAGCTTTGGCCTGGCAGCATCTTGCCGAGCTGGAAAAGCTGATAATGAAGAAAGCTTTTCATATCTAAGGCAATTTCAGGCAGAACAATGCTTTTGGCTGAGCTCTGCCTCGCTGGCAATGCCTGCCCTGCACTGACACCCACCCAGGCTGGCAGCAGCAGTGCCAAGGAGCAGCTCCCAGAACACAGGGACTGGTGCCAGGATGCTGCATGAAGAGAGGGATATGGAAGGGGAAAATCCATAGAATCACAGAATGGTTGGGGTTTGAAGGGATCTCAAAGACCATGGGCACAGACAGCCTGTGATGCCCCAATAAATGACGTRCAGCAGGCCCACCATGCTCAGGGAACCCTGCACATCATCTCTGCAATCACACTGTGGGTGAGGGGAGAGCTCTGATGGATTTCAGGGCCCCTGGAGGACCCCTCCACCCACAAAAGCTGCTGTGGGAAGCTGATGAGTTTGTATCAGCCTCAAGAATTCAAGGATGAACCCTCCTGGCAAACCCATCCCACCAAAATCCCATCCAAACCACGCTGGGGAAAGAGCCAGAACCACCAGGAACAGCGAGAGAAAGAGAAGGAGGGGACAGAAGGAGCTAAAATAAGACAACCAAGAGACAACCCCAAATTTCTAGTCCTGTGACCAGGATTAAGAGCCAAAAAATCTCAGAGGCATCACAAGTCCAGGCTGGGAGTGCATTTTCAGGGTGTCTGAAGCAGCTGCCCAGCAGCTGTGATGCTCCAGTCCGTCCCAGTAATCCCCCACTTTCTCCCTCTCACAGCTATAAATACACAGCTCAGGGGCTCTGTCACAGAGGACAAGCAGAGCCCTAAATTTGCAGCAAATCTGGCAGGTTTAGCCTTCAGAGTGAGGGAGTGCACRATGTGCAAGCTGGACTCGGGATCTCGCAGGGTTTTAATTACCCAGACTGCGCTTGGATGGAGACACCAGTCTGAAAACAACAGAAAAAACTTTTTCCCCATCTATTCTTCTTGGGCCTTGCATTCCCCATCCCAAGTGGAACATTCTGCTCCCAAGAAAGAGCCTCACACAGCTACAGAAACCCAGAAACAGGACATGTAAAAATTGATAAAAGCGACAAGGAGGACCGGCCACGTTTACAAGCGCCCCCGCACCATGGAGCCATTTATTTCAGGGGCTGCTGTGCCTGGTTTGTCCAACACAGCAAAAATAATGAGAAAAGTGGCAGCTAACTTATCATCTCACCTTGGCTCCCACACTCGTTACTTTTTTTTAATGCGTTTGAGAAATTCTGCTGATGCCAGTGCTGTTTTGGGAGATATCAGAGGGGTAAAACAGGAGAGAGGGAAGCAGGAGAAACTTCAGTGAGGAGCTGTGCCCCCAGAAGATGCATCACTTGAGAAAATGAGGCTGGGTGCATTTTCTTCCCCTCTTCTCCAGGATGAAWAGTTTGGGAATACACAATTATCCCAAATAAATTTGTTGGGATAAATTCCCCGTGAGCTGGGACAGTGGCACTGACCGGTGTGACAAAGATCTCCAGGGCCACACACTGCTCTCACTGCAGGCTTTGATGGGGAGCTGCTTTGCCTAAAACACTTATTTTGTCCTTTTTGCAACACTACAACTCCTCTCCTCAAAAGAAATCATTTTCAGAAGAGAAAATGAAGGTAAAAGTTATGCAGATTAAATGTTTCGCATTGAACCGTTCACAGAACTTCCGCCTAACTCTTCAAACAGCCAAGAAATAACCCAAAACCAGCCCTGATTGTGCCACTGCAGAGGGACACRGCCGTGAAGTGGAGAAGTTCATCATAAAGAAGGCTCTAGGGCTATAAAAAGAACCAGGATTAATTACCCCCATAAATTTAATGAGACAAAATAACCGGCGAGAGCTTAAATGGCAGCGGAGAAAATTTAGGTTAAATGTTAAGTATAACTCTGAGGTAGCAGGATGGTTTGGAGCAGCTGAAAGGGCCATAAAGGGGGATGGAAAAGCAGTTGGCAGGGAGGATGCTCAGCAGCACAGGGGATAATTGCCCCCTGACCTCAGCTCCCTGCAGCCACAGCCATGTGGGAAGCAGCAGCTCCCATCCCTATGGAATTCCAGGAGCATCCTCGGGACAGGGGTCACTGCTAAATCTCTGATTCGGAGCACAGGATCCACAGAAGGAGCCCCACACTCTGCTGCTGCAAAACCCCACTCATTTCACAGACAAACTGCCCCCCAAACTGGCTGCTGCAGGGTCTGGCAGCAGGGCAGGCTGGAATAAATCAGGCAGCAGGGGACAATTGTCCCTTTGCTGCTCCTCACAGCATCGATCCCAACACGAGCATCCCTGACCATCTGCCCGGGCTGGCTGCAAGCTGCCACCTGGCCCAGGGCATGGCAAACCGAGGGGCCAGAGRGCTGCAAACAGGCAATTTGAGAACTTCCCAACTCCCCTGACAGCCTTTCAGCTTCCCTTCCCCTTTCCATCACCAATTGTTCTTTTTTTTTTTAACTAAATTGCTGTTCGCAGGCAATTATGTGCCTTGGATCTGTCAGGAGAAGGGATTAATCCCTGCAACACCCCAAAGGTGGAAGCACAATGGGGTCAGCAAGGCTTAAAGACCCTTAAAACACACCAGGACCCCCACACACAGCTCGTTCCTGCTGCTCCTGGCCAGCCTTGGCTCTGGTTTTTGTCCCACAGCCCCTCAGTGCTGGGAGAGCTCTCAATATGAAGTTTCTCATCTTTACAGCACCACAGCCCCTCTCACTAGGGACAAACTCACATTTTGGGGAGCTTTCCACCTGCACACCTTATTCCCAACAGGATTAAAGCTGGGAACCCACTTCCAGCACCAAAAAAAATGAGTACAGCACCCCAAACCCACCCTTTGTGGGACAGCTGTCCCCAGCAGCACCCACAACCCACACAAACCCCTCTCCAATTCAAATCACATCTCTGTGTGAGAAGGAGGAATTTTAAACCCCAACATTAAAGGGATTTTTGAGAACTTCAGGAGAGGGGGCACAGAAAAAAGGCTATTCTTGAAAGGATCCCTTTCTAAGWGAAAATGTTATTAAACTGCAACAGCAAGCAGGGAATTCCAGGGCGCTCCATCCCCTCTGCTGGTAATTTATGATTTACTCCCGTAATAACTGAGGCCATAAGGAACTCATTGGATTAAGGAGTCTTATTATTTATGTTGTGGAACAATAATATTTAACTGCACAAATCCACACACCCACCCAGGCAGGCTGCACTTCACGAGCAAAGCCCTGGCTCGATGGGAACGCTGCCATCGAATTCCGATGGTGCCTGCTCTTCACCGTGGGTGCTGCAGCTTTTAAACCCAAGGGTGGTTTGAAAAGGCTGTTATACCATCAGCATGGGCAGCAGAACACAGAAATCCCATAAACACAGAGACAGCAGCAGCAGCATCACCCCACAGCCACCACAGCACCCATGAGTAGGATGAGGTTGCCCCAGCCCTGCAAGAGCTTGGATGGGGCTTGGAGCAACCTGGGATAGAGAAAATAGTGAAAACTGTCCCTGTTCATTTCAAAATGGGGGAATGAAATGGTTTTTAAGGTTCTTTTCAACCCAAAATATTCTCTAGTTGCCCTGGGGGCAGCTGGCGTGGTCCAAAATCACCCATGGGGGATGCAGCTCCAGCACCAGCACTTAAAAAATGCCAGCACTGTTAAGAACGGGTCCCCCACTGCCAGGGCTGGCTTTGGCCACCCCAGAGGATGATAAATACCCCAGGGTTTCACAGCCAATGATGGGATTTCAGAGCAGGAGGGGATCCTGTAGGTTTGGCCCCTTTCACCCCCTACCAAGCCACTCCTCAGCTCAACCTGATTAAAAATGACATCTCCCAGGGCTTCGCACGGGGGAAAGATGGACTTTTGTCAGAGCACAAGAATCTRCTGGCAAAAGGATCAAAGCAGCCGTTCTGGCTCTCCCAGCCCCGCTGTCAAACTTTATCTGGGAAAACTCTGCAGGAATCCCACGGCAACTCCTCCCTCCCGGGACAAGGTGAGGCCACTCACTCGGCCAGCTCCTCCAAGCTCCGGTACACGTCGTCRTCATTTTCCGTGGTCTCCTCCGAAGGGAAGGGCCTGGAAAGGGAAGAATTGACAGGGTTACATCAGTGCCTCACCCCTGGCAGCAGAGACCCCAAAATCAGCCCAGCCCTGAGCATCCTGCTGAGCAGAGGCTGCTTTGGAACAAAGGATTCATTGGAAATCCTGGTTTTTTTTCCTATCGGCTCCCAGGAGGACACCAGCTCTGCTGCTTTTTGGCAGGGCAGGGCAGGAATTCAGGTGGGGAGGTTGGCTGAGCACACAGGGCACCAAAATGAGGAGCTGCACGGTCTGAGAGCCCCAATGGCTGAGCCTTTCCTGCTGCAGGAACAATTCAGGAATCTAATTCCAGCCTGGTGTTGGATTTGWTGGGATGGAGGAACACCTTCTCCTCCAGGGAGGGAGAATTTCCACCTGTGAGCTCCTTCTCTGCTCAGGCACCCTGCACTGCTTCCCAGCAATCCCACAGGAATCAGAGTCCCTACAAACCCCAGGCTTCCTCATCTTAACAACTCTGTGACAGCTGAAAGAAGTCAAACCCCTGGAAATGAGGGAAAGGACACCCAAAGGGCAGAAAGCAAGGAGGGGAGAAAGCAGATTAAAAAGAGCGAGGGAGGGAGTGGGGGGAATACAAGAATTCCTTGGCTCGTTCTGCAGCAATAACCAAATAACGCATGAAGGAGATGAAAAATACTGTTTTAATTAAACCCCACGTATTATTGCTGGCACAGAGCCAGGGTGGGCTGTGCTCTGCTGGGGCTGGATGCACCTTGCCCTGAGCTGGGGGTCCCCATGGGTACAGCAAACCTCAATCCAGCCCCAGCAGGGGGACATGGAGGGGACAGAGGGGCAGCTGTGTCCATCCCTCCTGGGCAGCCTGGAGAAGGCAGATGGGGCTCTGTGAACACAAGGATGGGACATTGGGGTGTGGAGGAGCAAAGCTGAGTGCTCATGAACCTCCAACTGCCTTCAAAAGCAACTTCCTCCTCTTCCCTGCCACCCTCCCTGCCCATGAGTGATTGCCTCTCCTGAAACATTTMATACATGGCCTGGCTAGACCCCAAATTTGCTATTTTTGGATCCTTTCGCTGGCATTAATTTGCTTCCTCTCCCCTGCTACTCTTCACTTTTCCTTGGGCCGGCAGCTCCAGACTGAGAATTTTGAGAAAGTGCTGAGAGCTGCAGYGAGCTCAATTAAAACCCCAACCAGRGGGGAAAAACAGGACAATTCCATGCTCCAGCAGCTCTCACAGCTGCCCTGCCTCTGCCACAGAGAGCACCCAAGGGTGTCCAGCTGTGGTGTGGCCACGAGGAAAGTGGGGACACAGGAGGGAGGAAGAAAGGGATGGAAAGCTCTGGWGAGAAAGCAGAACTCAGAGGTGACCTCTGTTCAAACACCACTTTCYACAAAAACAATAAAAAGAAATCCACCACGAGGCATGACCTCTTTGCTTTTACGTGCCTCTTAATCTYTGGTTATTTCCTTCCCCACGCCAGAGAGAGAAAGGAGTAAATGAGACATAAAGAATATTAAAATCGCACGGACACATTTCCAGGCATAAAATGTGGGCTTGARGTGTAATTGGTTCCTGGAGTACAACCCCCTGTGTAAGACAAAGAGGCAGCAAAGGGAGAAAAATCTTTTCTAATGAGAGTTTCACRGGGGTGCAGCTCTGCTGGCCCTCCCAGCTTCACCTTGACCGCTGGGAATGGAGTGAAAGTCAGGGCASGGGAGGAATTAATAACCTGTGTCCCTTCAATCAGCTAATGATGAGAGAAGGACTCAGAGAATGCAATCAGAGGGAGGAGGTGAGCCTTACTAAATGGACCATCCAAAATCTACAGCTGAAAGGCAGCGTTTGGGACCAAACCTTGGGTTTTCCCTTTGTCCATCCGTTGCTCTTCCCCAAAAGTTCCAAGTGCAATAACACAATTTAATTTAGCTCTGCTAACAGCCACTATTTAAAATATCCCCCAATCAGCTCCCTTATCCATCCATTTAGGCTGTTTTTTATCACTGAACACACCTGGGCTGGCTGCAGAAATGGATTCGATGTGGTGGGGAAGACTGGGGAAGGAGAGCTCTGCTCTCACTCCCAGCCCACCAGATCCCCATCGAGGCAGCTCAAGAGAAAAGAAAAGTCATCTGGGTGATCTTTTAACCCACTATTTCTCACAAGCACGGGGGTTTTGCTGAGAATTTTCCTCCCCACAGACCATCCTCTTGTCCCCATCCATGCAGGGAGCAGAATCTCCATCCAGGAGRGCGATGGTGCTGCGCCTTCCCCAGCCATGAGCTCCCCAACAGCAAACACCTTGTTTGGGACCAACCCCTGTGTTATTTCTTTTGGTAAAACGAGTAAAAATGTTGTAATTCAAGAGGTTTAAAAGCTCCTGATTCCCTGGGAAATTCCTACAGAACTCCAGGCACGCTGCAACTTCTCAAAAGCCGTAGCTGGGAATGCCCAACAGCAATGAGTGTTTTGAGTCTGCAGAAAGCCCAACAGGTTCACAGCGATCYCAGTTTATTAAAATTCATTTGAAAGTGTCTCTTATTTCATATCTTTAGCTAAGCACCAGCCTTTTTCACTCCACCACCACACAGAACCACCTGCTGAGCCATTCATCCTCCCCTGCCCGTGCTTGAGCCCGCTCAGATGAAAAGCAAAAGCTCCCAGTGACATCAAACAGAGCTGGAACGGGCTCTTGGAGATAATAAAGCTCCCAGAGTAGACTCTTCCACAGACAAACCCCCCAGCACTCCACGGAGATCAGAGAAGGGAAGAGGGATCGATCCAATGTGTTTGTTTGAGAGGAGGAAAGGGAAGGGAAGCCCGAGCAATTTGTGGTGGAGTTTAGAGGGAGCTGCTCCTCTGGAGGGCAGGACAGGCAGCAGGTGATGGCTCCTGAAATGTCATACGAGCACCTCCTTGATCTTACAAAACATTTTGGCTGCTTTTTGGGCCTCACAGAGCACAGAGCTCGCTGAAAACACAGCACAGAGCTCCCTGAAAACACAGCAGAGCCACAGCCACAGCTCATCACCAGGGGACAATCAATTCATATTTCATGAAGCACCTCACGCAAAAAAAAAACCAAAAAACAGCCCTCCCTTGCTCTCAGGCTGCCCCACSATCCCTCCCACGCCGCCTCCTCACCACCCAGCCCTGCACAGGGAATCTCTCAGCACTGCCTGGCTGCTCTTTCCTCTGAATTATTTAGTGGGAAGAGCCAGGTAGGCWGCAATTCTAACAGCCATAAACAGCGAGGATGATTTATTTATGAGCGTATTTCAGCATTTGAAGTGCCTYGGCCCAGCTCTTCACCTCTGCAGAGAGCAGAGGGTCAGGGATGGGGCAGCTTCAGCCTGGCCATTTTCAACAGCAGCATCTTGGCCTCAAATCCACGTGGGACAGAGCAAGGAAGACCTGGCATGGTTTATTTACCATTTATTTACCATTTATTTACCGTTTTTCCAGTCTTCACTCCCATTTTGGGGGTTAAACACCAGCCCTGTGAACAGCAAGCCTGGTGAGAAGCAGAAAGGGAGGAAATGTCCCACTCAGGGCTCTCCATCCCCAATTCCCACCTGGGGCTGCTCTCAGTGGAGATGGTTTGCCAGGCACATCCTCCAGGAAGTTTTCCTGACTGGTGCAAACCCCCTCAGGAGTGTGAAGGAGGTGATTTATCCCTCTCTGGAGGATGATCCCAGCCTCCCAGCACCAGCAGGATAATCTCCCCCTGCTTTCCTAAGGCCAGGGATAACACTTGAGTGTTTTAAAAAGCAGGTGGAGCGTGTGACACCCGGGAAACCTGAGCTGCTCCCATCTGCCGTCCCTTCTGCGAGGATTTCTCCAGGAATGGGCAGGAGCAGAGCCTCAAGCTGGCACAGAGGAGCTTCTGCAGCTCTGCTGGGATGGACAGGGCTCTGTTTAATCCCCCTGGCCTGGAATGTGGAAGAAAAACATTTCCATGGTCTGGAATTACACCTTTTAGGACATCCCAGAGCTTCTGCAGCTCTGCTGGGATGGACAGAGCTCTGTTTAATCCCTCTGGAATTAAATGTGGAAGAAATGTGGAAGAAAAACATTTCCATCGTGTGGAATTACACTTTTTAGGACATCCCAGCTCCTCTGGTGGATGCACAGATATCCCAGTTCTGAAGGAATCATCGTGGCAATGCCCAGAAAATCCACAGGACACTGATTTCACCAGGATTTTGGGCTCAGGCTGTGCTCTCSATGGCAGTTTCCATCTCCCATGCTCCCAGAAAAGTCCTTCTGTCCCACTGTTGAGGTTTAATGCACTTCAATCCCAAAATCTCAGATTTTGGCTGTTTGCAGCTCATCATTTCGACAGCTCCAACCTTCCCCTTTTCTTTTTTCCTCCTTTTTTWCTCCAGRAGGGCGAGCATGGGCTGTCAGTCTCCAGTTCTGGAACTCTGGGAGCAGCATCACGAGCGCTCCTGGAGCTGCCCAAAGAAAACCAGGCATTTTTCCAAGACTTTTGCCCACCAGTGAAAATGCCTCCCTCATCAGCTTCTGGAATTAGGGAGATTTTTAGGCAGATAATTCACCAAGAGGTGGCTGTGAGCTGAGAGGGACCAGCAAAGAGGTGACCTGCCCTCAACCCAGGCAGCACCTCCAAGCTTTGGTTCCCAAATTTGAAGCGGGAGCAGCACCAGAGAATAATTTTGATCAAATACTACGAGATAAAACCACGCTATTAAAGCCCCCAAATCCATTTCTATAAAGCAGAATAGAACCAATTCTCCCCGTGCAGAACAAGGCACATCAGAGCATACCAAAAGCTGCTGAACTTAATTAAAATCACACTGTCGCTTTGCATTACTCATCTCTGGAAAGAAGCACCTCACGCGGCGCCAAATTTTAGACATCTCCTCTGAAAAATTACTGGTTTGCTCTTATTTGTGGTCTGGAACTCRCAGGAATCCTCACAAGATTAATTCTGATGGAAATGCAGCGGGGAAAAGAGCGAGTTCCATCAGCAGATAACACCATAAAGATGATGATGAT